TGACGCAAGCCAATTTTAACGCAATAGCAGAAGCAGTCAGAAAAAAAAAGAATTTTGCCAATTAACATGCCTAAATTTATAGCGGACGCATTTAAATTAGTATACGAAAAATTCATTTAAAACGTCCGAACCTGACCAGATTCGAACCGTTATTTTGTTGCGGGTCTCCTTCCCTACTTCTACGCTACAGATCCGTGATACCTTGAAGCTTAAGTGCTATTTGTAAAATAAAGTTTTGTGCGCTAATACGCTTAGCATTGGCTGTACTTAACAGCTGGTCCTTGATCAAAATAAACACTTTCAAAGTTGGTAAAGTAGTTTTTAAGAAAAAGGAAAAGTTTCGAAAGCCTCTCGAAAAACAAAAAAAAAATAATACAAAAAAATGCGATCCCATACATTTCCATCAGTCACCAGTCTTTTGTATTGATGCGGAAGGACAGGGGTAATTTCAAAAACAGACCTATTTCAAAGAAATGTAAATCCCAATTTAATGACTTGAAAATCTGTTAATTTCATCAATAACTTAAGATTTCCTAAAAAATTAGGTGGTAACAAGCGCTTGTTAGGTTGAAAGATGCTAAAAACGTTGCTCATTAGATTTGGGTGGTTAGTTTTCAAGAGAACTCAAGTTTCATAATACGGTAAAGAAAATCGAAATTTTGAATTTCGGAGTCATAAAATTTGGTGTAAAAACACAGGCAAAATCTTTCAAGCGGCGAACCTTCCCACAACCCATTCTAACATCAAGGTTCTATTAATAATTTTTAATCGCATCATTTGTCAGCTCTGTAGTGATTTTGTCATTTAAACGAAACCAACAAGCCGTAATGGATAAATTGAAAAGATACTCTGCATTTTGTTGATTATACCTTCCCTTAAAATCCCTTGAAAATTTTATTCCGATAAAAAGCATAACAAAAAATCAAAATACATTGATGTTGTCCCTTGTACCGAAAACTTCCCTAAAGCTTTTATATAAACATATAGAAACCTCTGCAACAAACGAAAAACTCTCAAAAAATATGGTTTCACCTAATTTTTATGATTAAACATGCTCAAGTGCCGCAGAACTAACTTGGCACCACTTCCAATACCACAAAAATAGCATTGCAAGCTACTAGTAGACAAAAAAGAGAAGAGCCAATTTTTTGGATAAAAAAACTTTCAGAAACAACTAAAAAATCTTATTCGTAAAAACTCTTTTCTAACACTACGCGTTTTGATCGATCCTCAGCGACGCATTTAATTCAATTTTTATCGAAACGAAACCAAATTAGGTCCCTAAGCAGTTCAATTTTAAACCGAACTCAAATTAGTTGATTAAAATGGTTAATTGAATAAAAAATAAACAAAACATCAAATTTTACAAATTCAGGAGTAATTATTCCAAATGCAGGTAGTTAGAAGTACTAAAAGTATCTACACTGAAAATTGTGCTTTTTCACCATTTGTCAGCCGAGCCAACAAAACATCAGCAGACTTTAGGCTGACACATTTAAAGAAACCTTATTTCGTTTGAAAAAAATTCATGGTGAGACTTGAATCCGCAAGTTTTGCCTTCTTAGGCGTATCCTTCGCCGAATTATATTTTGAATTCCTTATGAACCCACATGCAGCTGTTTCTGTTGATCAACTTAGGCAACGAACAAAATATAAATTTCGGAACCGTAATAATTGGAAAGCTCTCTACATTTACGGCCAACTTTTACATTATACTGATAAATATTTTCTGAGAACTCTTCGCGGAGAACAAAAACTAGTTCCAACGCTGTTACACCAAAATTTATCGCAAAGGTAAAAAGTGCTTTGGAAAACGCATAGAATTGCATTATGCACCGATGAAGACACGAAATTCGCAGAAAATTGCAATTTATGTTTAAATTAACATTGGACTGATTGTACACCAAATTGCCCAGAGCGCACTTATGTTATCATTTGTTTAGACTAGGAGCTCAATTACTTAGCTGTATAACAAATTAAATTAATAAATCGTTATACATCTTAGTTAACTTAATGTAATTTATAGCTCACGAAGCTAAGAAATACTCACAAGTGGCCTACAAAGACCAGAAAGTGAGAAAAAATTCAAGTCAAAACAAAACAGATTTAGTAATTTCCAGGAGTTGACTAAGTTTGAAATATTTTGAAATTATATGCTTACAACGATTTAGCTGAAAAAGCTTATCTTAGGTGAAATTCCTGGATCAAAGGAAAAACCGTTTTCTTCAGAAGACTTCATGAAAGATTGCTTTTTGAAGGGCTAATGCAGTGCAATTTGCTTTGAAATTAGCAAACAGAAATAAAGAATACTTAAAAGTCGGATTGCTTGAAACTTTTATGATGCATTTGCTGAAAAATTTTTAAGATATTCTAGAAATTGAATATAACCGAAAACAGGATGTCTTTTTTTTTTGCTCATTAACACTTTTTCTGCGATTATTCGTGTCAGTACAAAAACATACAACTGAATACATTACAAGGCATAAGCGCGGCTGGGAATACCGTTGCAGCTACCAATTCAACCAAAACGTTTTAGAAAATTTGAAACTTGAGGTTTGATAATTAGCTTACTGCCACCATTGAAAACTATTTTAACAAGAACGGCTATTAGTAGTTCAGCAATTCTCCAATCTTGATTGATTGTCGTAAGCATAAAATTGTAAATGCCGAAAGTTCTAGTCATTATGTGAACAACGATATTCCTGGTAAAAATATCAGCTATAAAGTTGTTCGTTTTAGTTATAATCAGGATTTATTTTTTAGATAGTGCCCATCGTCCATTATTGATTCAACCTACCAAATAGAAAATATACACAGGTGAAGTTGCACTTTGCACACACAAGCAAAAATATGATTAATAACGCTACTGGGAAATACAGAATGAGTAAAAATTTGAGTCTACAAAATTTCTTAGATGAAGCAAGCCATTTATGAGTCTACATAATTGCGAAGTGACGCAGGTCAAACTTAACACAAAAGCAGAAGCAGTCAGAAGAAAAAAAACCTTGCCAATTAACATGCTTAAATTTATAGCGGACGCATTTAAACTAGTAAACGAAAAATTCATTTACAACGTCCGAACCTGACCAGGTTCGAACCGTTATTTTGTTGCGGGTCTCCTTCCCTGTTTCTACGCTACAGATCCGTGATACCTTGAAGCTTAAGTGCTATTTGTAAAATAAATTTTTGTGCGCTAATACGCTTAGCATTGGCTGTACTGAACAGCTGGTCCTTGATCAAAATAAACACTTTCAAAGTTGGTAAAGTAGTTTTTAAGAAAAAGGAAAAGTTTCGAAAGCCTCTCGAAAAACAAAAAAAAATAATACAAAAAAATGCGATCCCATACATTTCCATCAGTCACCAGTCTTTTGTATTGATGCGGAAGGACAAGGGTAATTTCAAAAACAGACCTAGAGCAAAGAAAAGTAAATCCCAATTTACTGACTTGAAAATCTGTTGATTATATCAATTACTTAAATCTCCCCAGAAAAATGAAGAGATAACAAGCGCTTGTTAGGTTGAAAGATGCTAAAAACCTTGCTCATTAGTTTTGGGTGGTTAGTTTTTAAGAGAAATCAAGTTTTATAATACGGTAAAGAAAATCGAAATTTTTGAATTTTCGGCGCCATATAATTTGGCGTAAAAACACAGGCAGTCTTGTATGTGTCGAACCTTCCCAAAACCCATTCTACTCATTGAAATCAAAACCTCAGTTTTTGCGAGGTAACTTTTTGAGAAAAGTCAAGCTCGAAAAAACGGTCAAAAAAGCGAATGTGATTTTTTGGAGCGTCGTGACTGTGTTAAAAATAATTAGGCATTATCATTTTTGCAGAGCTACCTACAACCCTTTCCCTTGATTTTTCCGAGGATCATAACTTTTTGAAAAAAAAATTGTGTATAAAATAATCATTTAAGCAAGGGAGCTCCCCACAACCCTTTCAGATTTTGGGAGGGTAGTTTTCGAGAACAATCGATAAATTTCAAGAAAAAAGGCAAATCCTGAATTTGATTATTCTTCGTCATAGTTTTTTTGTCTAAACACTAGAGCATAGCCGATAGTGCAGGGGAGCTTCCTACAACCCGTCCGTTCGATTGAAAATAATTTATCAGATTTGAGATTGTAGTTTCAGAAAATGGTCAAAGACTCGAAAAATTGACTTTTTTGAAAGCCATAACTTTTCGTGTAAAACAAGATTTGGGCATAGACGCTGATGTAGGGGAGCTTCCCACAACCTGTTCTATCCAGTGAACCTTAACTCGCAGAGTTGCGTGGGTAGTTTTCGTGTATGAAAATCAAAAATTGGCTTAAAAAATTCTCCTGACTTTTTCGAAGGCTGTAGAAAGTGAGGTAAGGTAAAAAAAAAGAGCATAGGGGAGTATGCAGGCACACAAGGGAGTACCACTTACTTGAAAATCGGTAACGTAGTTTTTGAGAAAAACGATAACTTTCCAAAGCGTCAAAACAACAGAACGTCAAAAAAATATATCAAACATGAATTTGTAGTATAATAATTTGTGTAAATCTCCATAGCATTGGCTAAAATTAACAGCTGGTTATTGATCATCAAAATGAACACTCTCAAAATGAACACAATTGTGTCAACAACTTTTGCGACTTTGGTTGGAAAAAAAAGTTAGTTCATACTTTAACACAAGCTATGCTTGTGTAATTAACGTTTAATAAGACTTATGAAACTATGTTGCTCAACAATTTTTGAGTTTCCAATTTCTTCCATGATTTATATTTTCCGACAAAACAAAGAAAATTTGAAGTTAACGGTTGAAGAGTTTTAAAATTCTGCTGGGACTTCAATAATCAACTTCCATCTTCAGAAAATGATTTAATTTTTTTGCATTTATAAATTCGAAATTAGAAACTGTAATTTCCCATCTTTTTAGCTAATGCGTTTGAATGCAATTTAAAAGGAAATCAAACATTTAACTCTGAAAAACTACATTTGAGTGCAAGCTTATTAAAATTTCCTTACAAAAAAAAGACCTAAGTAAGTGCTAAACCACTTACACTTATCTTTTCAATTCTAAAAGTTACATAATTTACATGAAATATACATAGATCATAATGATACACAATATTTACAGCTCTACCGAGAATCAATTTAATAAGCCGTTAAATAGCACATTCAGAAGTTAAGCGATTTATCATCTGAACTTCAACTGTTTGTACATTTTTACTTATTTTACATCATCTGATTCAATTAGGCAAATCGAAATTTAAAACCCTGAAGTTTGTAACATCAAGGTTCTATTAAAAAATATTTTATCGCATCATTTGTCAGCTGCTGGAATTCAATCCAATATCGAGAGTCAAAATGAGTTCAGTTCAATTATGTTTCCCCTTTTCTTCCCTTTATCTAACTAAGTTTACGTCTAGATTGCTGTAGCTTTCATTATCTTTCTGTCCTCCTCATGGATGTTGTTATTGATGTCGTCTTCTGCTACTACCGTTGCTAGTCATCCAGGTCCTCGTCCAAGTCCCGTTCTATCTCATCCTCCCCTCCACTGTCCTCATAGCTGTCCTCATTTATCCCATTGCCACCCTTGTTCACGCCATAGTTCACTCCTAAAATCATATACCCCATACTACTTAGACATCTAGCAATGACGTTCCAACAAATGACACAAGCAAGCAAAATATACCAGGAGAGTGTTGACATCACAGTGGACCTTAACATCCCAAAACCCTGAGTTTTTGCTCAATACGAAATTGTTTTTCCCCATGGTGTGATATAAAAGATCTGAACGAAAAAAAACTTAGGCATATTTAACAGTCATGGTAAAAAAAGCCATTCGGAAAACAGTTTTTGAAGAAAATTGACTAGAAAAACGAAACAAAAATTGTATAAAAAATGGCCGAAACTTTTGGAATTTTCAGCCTTTGTTTACAAAATGGCGCAAAAAACTCCAACTACTTTTATTTGAGTAAAACTAAGTTTTTACGGCTTTAAGTAAGCTTAACTAAGCTATTGTAAGCCTTCACGCTCACACCATATTAGTTCGAAAATGGACCAAAAATCAGAAATTTCAAACCGGTTTTTCTCGACACTGAAAGGGCTTCAATATGATATATCAGCCGACCCATTTCGATAATTATTTGTGATACCTGATTTTGCGTGGAAAACAAAAAAACTAAAACACCCGAATACAAAGTTCCTCCCCATTTTTCAAATAGTCGGAACAATCAGTAATTTGTAAGGTTTGCTTAGTACAAGTTGATATCAGCCATGCAGAGTATTAACAAAAGATAGTTCAGTTTATCTACCGATTTTAAACTTGACTGCCAATTCGGGCCTGTCCACTCGTTCACACACTTTCTCCACCAGTAGATTCACTTTGCCCATGGCCGCCTCGTCCTTGGGTCCGGCCTCACTGCCTCCCGGGAACAGTCTGCGCAGTGCACGCACACCTTCATCCAACCCATGCAGAGTCTCCAGACAACTGAAAGCCTGCACAAGAAGCAAATACAACAAAAATCAGTGGCAGAAAACCATGAGACACAAACATAATAGGCTATTGTCATTTTTATCGTCAAGAAGCTACTTCTTGTTACTCAAACTTCTTGAACTATTCTGATTCTGAAAAGAGAACTTCGAAAAGAGATACTGAATTCAGGTATCAATACTGACTTGATACCTCAACAAAACCCCACAGTGAAAACATCGGAAGCAAAACTAGACTAACTTTTTCGTTCTGTTCAGTGGCGAGGAAGTTTGCCAGCATGCGTGTGAATATGTCTCTTTCTCGAGGGAATCTCTGGAAACTGGAGTCTTCCAGGATGGCCCTCAGTGCCCCATTCACACGTGCCACCTGCTCCTTGTCCGTACTACACAACAGCACAAAGATAGAAAAATGGGAACTACAACAACTATCGCCACCAGTTAGCGATCGCAGACGGATAAAATTCTTGACGAAACAATGTGGCAATCCTAATGTAACATTTAAGGGTTTCATTGCAAACCACGGTATGTCTCTTGTTTGAGCTTTTTCTTTCTTTTATTTGGAAGCAAAACAGGCTAAAAATAGAATCCTTCAACAAAATGACGACCGTCAATGATGTTTTGTCTTGTTGTAGGCTTTTAAATTCTGAGGGAAAAGGGGGCTCAGATGGTGGGATAAATAAGATGTTATTACGTGGTGACGTCGTTCTGTAAGAATGTATTGATGAGGGTGACCCTGTGCCTGATCTGGGCCAGGGCACTCTCTATTCGCATGGGGTCCTTGTGGTTGACCAGTGCTTTGCTCAGCTCCTTTTCCGCTTCATTCAACGCATCCACCGCCTTCTCATACGCCTAACATCACAAACTGATAAACACAAACAAAGCGTAGACTAGTCCAAAAAAACACTGTTCTGAATCACTTCCAACGTTAAACACTTCCAACACGTTCACGGACTTTTATCTCGAGTATAATTTGTCTAAGACTTCAGTTTTATAAGGCTTCGAACTGTCATTCAAAAACATCCAGAAACGATAACACATCTCCACCGATGCAGTATACGTACTTGAAACTGGTCCATTTCCAGTTCAGCACAGGATATGTAGAATAGGGCGAGGAGTTCATTGGCTTTGGCCTTCTGGTACAGCTCTATGATCTTCATGACTACGTCTTCTGCCTGGACCCACTGCAGAGTCTTGAAGTAGTTGGCCGCATCCACCATCAACTCCGGCTTGCGGGACACCTTGGCAGTCTTGAAGATCAGCTCCACATCGCCAGACTTGAGCAGCGCTTTGAAGCCTGAAACAAACAAAAAATATCAACTAGAATAACTGGTTACTGAACAAATAGTACAAAACATAGCCAACTGACAGTTGGAAAAGAGTAATGAACAAAAGGAAACTGAAATAAAAACTGACTTGTTTTTTCAAAAACCTTCAACTTATGAAATTCGAAGAAAAAATAGATGGCCCTAAAGCTCTTTGAATTTGTAAAGCAATTTATGATGGACACTTTTTTGTTAAACTTAACCCAATTTGAGCAAACTGGATCATTAGGCAAAAATTTAATTTCGCTGGGCAATCTCATAATTAATTTCCAGTTTCGAAATTAGAAGTCGATCACGTTTTTCGTGACCTTTATAATTTTGTTGTTAGATAGGGAGTTTGCTTTCCTTTTAACAATAGAAATGCACTGAACTTGAAATGAAATCCCTAGACAAACCGCGAAAAATCAGAATTTTAGGACGATTTCCTGAAAAAAAATCAGCAAGACCTATATATGAGTCACTACGTTCATTACTCTTAATATATGCCATTAAAGCTGATGAAGTAATGAGACGAACCTTGTTGGATATCTCCAGCCTGTTGGAACTTCTTGTAAGCCAGGGTATACTTCTGCTGAGACTGGCAGATGTATGCAAGTCTGGTCAGCAGCTGACTCCTCTGCCGGCTATCGATGGACTTGTCACTCTTGTCCGGACACAGTTTCTCTGCCATTTCTTCTGTGATGTCCACCGAAGCAGCTTCCTCCAGCAGCGTAAGAGCGGCATCGTACTGAAAACACGGAAAAAGTGCAGGGTAATAATCATGTTGCTAAAACAACCTTATATGATGTGAAACTTAATGTAACAAAATCTCACGCGATAAAATCTTTATTTCCAGTGCTGGCAAAAAAAAGAAAGTAAGCAAAGACATGCGCTCTAACTTATAATCTTCGACAGCATAGGCCAATTATGGAATGAAGGGGTCCACGGAACAAACCTTCCCCTTAAGTGAGAGTTAACTCAAGGGTACATCCACAAAAAATAAACTCACATCTTTGGCTTGAATATACAAGTTGATCGCCTTCTCGTACAGCCCCGTGTCTCTGAAGAACTTGGCGAACTCTTTCAACTGCTCAGGGCTGCTCGAACTTTCGTCCAAATGGGCCACAATTGAGTCCATCACTGCTGCTTTCTGTTCGCCTCTCGTCAACTCGGCCACTTTCATTCCCTGCCCGGCCATAGAGTACAGCTGGAGAGCCTTGTCTCGGCAATCCTGTGAGTCCTGCGCTTCCAGGAACTTGGCTGCGTCCAATTTATCAGTCATGGACCCGAGCGAAGCCACATTTTTGAGCTGGTCAAAGTCTCCCGCCTCTTTGCACAGTCTACATCCACTCGTGTAAGCCTCGGCTCTCATGAAGTAAGTTATTGCTTGTTGGAACGTCTTCGGGTTTTGCTAGAAATTCGTTAAAATGTAGATTTTTTCATTTAGGGAAATAATTTTACAGATTAAGCGACACTGGTCCATGTTCCATGTTAAGCTGATTGCTAACTAAGTATCCTAAAAATCATCAAAGTATCTATCTACTATCAATGAAACCCACATTCATACAATTTTTATAAAATTTCCAAATGAATCGCACTCAATAATCCCCAGACCAGCCACCCGGTTGATACAAGCACTTAACTTTTTCGAAAAAAAATCCTGCACAGATTTGGTAACCAGTCTTCGAGCCAACTTCAACGATCCGTATTGCTTTTTAACCACAAATTCACTTGGTCGGCGCCACTGGCTACAGGTGGAATATAAACCCCACTACCTTAGTCTGAGCTATTCGCTCACCTCTGCTTGGAATTGTGTCTCGAACTGCTGGGCGAGGTAGTAACAGGCTGCTTTGGTGGCACTGGCCAGAGACACCTCCTTAGCAGAACTGGAATAGGGTGAGAAGGGGGAGGAGGAGTGACCCCCATTCATACTTGCTCCCAGGGCGTCCTCCTCTTCGTCCAGACTGCCTTCTCGATTGCACAGCTGCATTGCCTGAATTCACAGAACGTATAACACAGTCAAAGCAGAGTTTCGCATCACTTGCGATGCAAAAATATACATTTGGCAACATGACCCAACCAAAACATAGCCAACAAGCAATTGGAAAAGAGCCATGAACGCAAAGAAAAACTGAAGTATTTGGTTGAAAACTTTCGAATTTCAAAGAAATAAAATGACCTTGAAGCTCATTGAAATTCAAAAAAAAATTATGACTGAAACTTTCTTGACAGAGTCAAAACGGAGATTCGCATTACTTGCGATACAACGAAAGCGTAGCATTGCAAGCTAACAAATAGACAGTAAAAAGAGAATAAAAATAGAGCAAGAAGGAAAGAATTAAATCGACAAAAAAACGTGAGAAAATCATTAATTTTTTTGGATGAAAAATTCGATCTCAGAAAAACAGACAAAAACTCAACCACTAGCATTGAACCATTGAAAAGGTGGTTCCCTTTCTACGTCGGTTTTGCCACTAGAGACCTGCCACCCTGGGGGAACTGCAGTGATAGATGATACACAGAGTCGAAGTTGCACTTCGCTTACAAAAGCAAAAATATGACCGATAACGCTACTTAGAGTCTACAAAAGTTCTGTGACGCATGCCAAATATTAGTCCACATTATTGCTAACTGACGCAAGCCAATTATGACGCCTTAGCAGTACCAGTCAATTTGAGAAAAAAAACCAACTATCTAGCCTCAATTTAAAGAGCTGAAGCATTTCAACTAGTATACGAAAACTTACCCTGTCCAGGTTTGAACCCTTTTATTTTGTTGCGTGTATTCTCCTCTACCTCTACACTACAGATCCATGATACCTTGAAGCTAAAGTGCTATTTAAATATAGTATCTGTGTTAATATGCTTAGCATTGGCTGTACTGATAGCTGGTCATTAATCAAAATGAACACTTTCGAAATGAACACTAATATTTGCGACTTAGGCTGGAAAAAAAAGAGTTCATTCTATCACACAAGCTTTCTTTGTGTAACAACACGACCAACGGAAAATTTCTAAGTCTCTCTATCTCCCAAACAGAATCGATCTCTCCAATTCAATCGGAAATTCGGAACCGAAATCAGTGTAGCTACAACAACTAGCATTTGAAAATCTCTGTATTTTCCGAGCATTTACTAAGTCAACTAAAATGTTTAAAAGTCATTGATCAGAAAAAAATTTCAAAAGAAATTAATGTCATAAAAAAATCAACTATGAAAAACTCAATCAAGAAAAACTGGCGAGAAACAAAACTGCTAGTATTTAACAAGTTATTGGTGTTTTCCGAGCGCTTACGAAGCAAAAAAAAATGCCAAATGATCCTAAAACAAAACTGCGAAAATTGTCATTTTCGCATTTTTGCATAATGACAGAATTGTCATTAAAAAAACTTGAAAAGAATCAACAAAAAAAAAACTACATTTTTTTCGGAATTACACAAAAAATCAAGCTCGTTAAAACCGTAAGAAACACAACAGCCAGCATTAAGCAAGCTTTCACTATTCTCCGAGCGTTCTTTAAGCCGACAACACGTGGTTAGACGCCAACTGATCCGAAATTATTGTCAAAAATTAATTTTGAGCGATAAGTTTGACCTTTTTACTTTCCCCGACGCAACCGAAGTGATTTAGATATAAATAAATATATGCCCTTAATACTCTTTGAGTTTCACGAACAATTTCTGATTACTGCTGTTTTGATAAAATTAGTCCAATTTGAGAATAGGTAAAATTTTCATTTCGCTGGGAAATCTGATATTTTTACTACATTTTCGAACCTTCAAGTCGAGCACGTTTTTCGTGACCTTCATACTTTTGCTGTTCGATATTGGAGTTTGCCTCCATTTTAACAAAAAAAATGAACTGAATTTAAAAAGAAATTATAAGTCAAACCGCAAAAAAAACTGAGCGTGAACAGATTTAGAGACTTTCCTGTAAACATCACCAAAACCTATAAGCGTAATCACTAGGTTCATGACTCTTAAAATTTATTTTATTTTAAATCAGAAACGCAACATCTGTTCTCCGGAAAAAAGCAACTATGGTTCTCCGTAAAGGAGAAAAGAAACAGCGATTCTCTCTAAGGTACGCAAGAACGGTTCCATGGATGTCCTGACCAGGGCTAGGGAACAATTAATTGGAACCCAATTAATTGCAATTAATTGGATCTAATTAATTGCAATTAATTGGATCCAATTAATTGATTGTCGAGTCCATCCAATTCCTATTAATTAATTGCGCGGTTTCAATTAATTGCCTTTATTATCCACCATTTCAAACTTGCTACTCCATTTTGTTTTGTAGTAGCAAATTGCGCAGCGTGGTTTATATTCCGATTAGTTAATCGGAGTTTTGTTTCATGACCTGCGACAATCTCTGCTGCCAATGAATCTCGAGGCGCAGAATGTTATTAAAGATCAACAGAAGTTTTTGGAGTACAGAAACCATAAAAAAACTGGAACTCTCTTAATTTTTTATCTAATCAGGTTCGAAATTGATTTTGGTCAGTTTACTTTTCACATTTCAGTTAAAATTCAATTAATTGCAAATAATCAATTGATAGACTGGCCAATTCCAATCAACTAATTGCAGCAGTCCGAAACTGATTGGAAGGGCCCAATTAATTGTTTCCCTACCACTGGTCCTGACCCTCGAGGATAAATCGTCAACGATTTTTTCAAGGGAAAATTTTCAGTCTGCAACAAGAACAGGTCCTGACCGGATTCGTCTATTTGACCAAAAGAATAATTCTCAAGCTATCAAACACATTATTGATTCTGTCAGACAAGTTATTTGGCTGAAAAAGGTATGTTTCAATTTGATAACGTTTGCTAATCGCAAGTGTTGAAACATCAATTGCAGAAATGTTCCAACTACAGTGGCACTACTGATTAAAAAGTCAGGGAACATAGTAAGTTTAAGTAATGTTCACCCTATATTACATTAAAAGTATCCAGTTCCTGGAACAGTCATAGATAATTATGTTGACCGAATAGTTTTGCAACGGTTGTTATGGATAGCAACTTACCTGTTCATACTTCTGCAGGTAGCACAGCACTCTGACCATAGACAGGATGTCATTGGCCTTCTCGTAGTACTCCAGTGCCAGTTCGATGCTCCCCGTAGACTCACAGAACTGGGCCCACCATTTGAACAGGCCACTGCAAGATAACGAAAACACCCATAATAATCAACACAGAGGCAAAGCAGAGCTTCGCAACACTTCCGATAAAAATGAAGGTCTCTCACTATTTGCAGACGAACCGACAAATCGAAAAAAAAAACATTTCACATTTTTAAATCTTGGAACTGAATCACCGTACCTTTGGAAATTTTACAAAGAGCGGCCGAGCAAATCATTGCACTACTTGCAAAAAAACCCATGCATAGCATGAATAACTAACCAAATAAAATTGTAATGCGACAACTCCGTGTCTTGACGTGTCCCAGCCATTTGTCCCGGAAAAAAACTATTCAAAACGCGAAAATTGTCCAAGACATTTGGTTCCAAGACAAAATTGTCCAGAAATTATCCGGGCGATTGCAACACTAGATAATGTCTGAATTACTTATTGATTACTTATTCTCTCAATAGCGAGGATTAAATCGATAAGGCCACGCAACTGCGCAATTTGACCATATTTTTTTTGAGCAGCAAATTAGACAAAATTAACATAAGACTCAAATCATTTACACACACCTACACAATTATTGCTTCATTGATAATGCTGCCGAACGTAGACATGAGAGATCATAAAGTCATTTTTTATTACTTTCGATTTCGTGTTATTAATGAAAATCCTTACGACACTTAAAATGCTAAATCATGATGCAAACGCATATTTCAAAGATCGAACTTTAACAGACACCTCATATCGTGGCGATGAGTTTTGTATAAATGCAATTGCCTTGTGTGCACTTTCCAAGAGAAATTCACTATTATAAATGATCATAGTCATTTTCCGGATCCAGTCGATATTGAGAAACGGAAATTCAAAAGAGCAGTCGTTGCAGATGAGCCAACACGTCAAATATTTTTTTTCGGTCCAAAAAGACATCAACTGAGAGACTGCAGCAGTAATCCCGAGTTATTCGGCAAACCAGATGACCGTTAACAGAAAAGCAGTAAAGACGGTGCAGTAACCAAAATCCTTAACTGATTTTGAATTGCCAGAGGTGCTGAAAGTGACACAGTTGTGAGCGTTTCCTTCTTCTTAACCTAATGCTACCAAGTAAACAATGTTTTTCATCTTATTAGTGGCGCTGATGATTGGTTCTCTGATGACACCTTTTCTACGGCCCGGATTGAGTTCTCTTAGATATATACCAACAAGCATCAATCGAGTGAATTCTGATCCCTATGGTTTATGCATTGCTTCGAGATCAATAAGACATCTATATTCGTCTAATGAGCTGTTTCGAAAAAGCGGTCAAAAATGCGTTTACCCCAATATCCGAAAAAGAACATTCAAAACTACTTTTTTCATTTGTGCCAAAGCCTCTGGCGTCACATTCATTCTCCTGGGAGTTGAAACAACTACAAATTAGTCCTAGAGCATAACCGAATGCTACTAAGTACCGCTTTCTTGCCAGTAAGTGAAGTTTTTACTGCTTTTGAAACTCTTCAGAAGACATACCTTGAGACAGTCCACCCAATTTTCAACTACTTTGTGAGGACAATAACATTGTTTGACTCTCAGCGGCAAATCCAGCATGTGAAAACCCCAGATTCGACGTTGACAGCTGGAGTTATCATCCACGTGTTATAACCGGGCGTCCGAAAACCAACTATGCTGTTGAACGCTGGAATAGCAACTTCGTTCAACTCTTTACCGCCAAGCGCCCATCATTTTCAAAACTCATGGAAGCGTTCCGGGATTAACATGAAAATACCAAAATCTCGGGTCGAAAAAAATATGTGCCGGGCAAATAGTATCCCATTATAAAATTCTCTTCAAGTCAAACTTGACAAAAACTTTTCCACGTCAGTTGCGACCTCCGATCCTCTTAAAAACTGCCAATTTTCTTAAAAGGGTGCAGCAGAATCAAACTATGAATAAAAGTCAATTTACTTTCCAAAGCTTGAATCGCAAAGCAATATTTTTCAACACACTTTTCTAACTTTTTCCAAGAAATTTTCAAAATTGAGCTAGACTCGTTTTGAAAACGGCAAAAAGATCAATGTAACCAAGCTTTTCCCATCCCCTTACTTTTTGGCCCAATCAAGTCAACCCATTTCAATTTTGCCCTAATTTACCCAATATTTCAATTTTTACCGAAATTACAAAATGTTTTCAGACCCGAGATTTGAACTTCCCACATTTTGATCTTAAAACTAGAGACTCCACCGCTAGGCAAAACGAAACGCGCTTTTAAATTTCCAATTTCCTTCTGGCAAATTTTGTCTTGATTTGACTGTTCTATGGTTAATTAGTACGCATAAAATCTAATTATAGAAAAAAAAACAGTGAAGATCACAAGGTCAAATCAAAGAAAAGAATTCCGCATACAATTTCGAACAATTTTATCTGGTATATAAATTCCTGGTACAATTTAATAATTGCTGACTGTTTTGTCAAGGACACAAATTTCTGCAAGTGAACTGAGTCGTAAGGCTCGAACATTAAGTGAGTTGCTGTAATAGCTCTATTAGGATCGAGCTTCTCTTTTTACCTTTGTGATAAGCAAGAGTATTGTAATTGGGCTTTTTTTCCTGTAAATAACTTGTTCACAGGATGACGAACATACAGATAGAGAGCAGAAAATGTTGAGCTTTTCTGCATGTTAATTTTTTCGCGTTGAATAATTCACGGCTTTTTTCATGTTAGTTGTAAATGTACCCACTCCGATTTCAGTATATCAGTTTGTTTTCGTTATTTTTTCTTTTCCCTTTTTTGACTTGAAAGGTTTTGGCTTCTAATATATCGGCGTAGAGTTCTCTTTTTGAGACGCATGAGGAAAAAAAGCTTTATCTAAGTGTTATGAGGGTGAAATTTTATTCGAACAAAATCAAGACATTTTTTGATATTTTTTTTTCTACGGCTTTCATCTGTTATATTCGGTACCGCGACAACTTGCAGCAATAGACAACTCGTAACAAAAGACAACTTGCAAATTATAAAGAAAGCACAACTCGAAAAGTTGGATAATTATTTTCTAGCTTGAGAGTTTTGGTTTAGGGGCGTCGGTAGCGTGCATCGCAGCTTTGCAGCGATAACGGGCTCGAAATGTAATATGAAGTCCTACCAGTTCGCAGGGAGCAGGGATATTTCGCTGCCGTCTTCCTCATAATTATCACGAACTATTCATAGGTTCAAACAATCACTCGAAACAATTCAAAGAAATCGACTCACGGTTCATTTTTGTCATTAATATAAGCGAGCAGTTTGGAGTAGTTTTGGGAGAGCATCCGCGGCACATCAAAGTGGTGAGTGTTGGCCTTCTCGTATCTGAAGAAAAAATTTTATCAAATGTTTTTGATATCAATCAAATTCACAAGTTGTCTATAATTAATCCACTACAAATAATCGGTTAGAACGGAACAGCTAAATTTGCATCAATTTATCAAAAAATAGATCGAGCTTGAGAATCATCAAAAACAAGTGCCCCCAACTTTAACACAGGTTAAGCTGGGCTTCGCACCACTTTCTAATGAACACAAACATAAAAAACATAAGTCGAAAAAATGGAAAAACTTGAAAAAACTATGGAAAAGTTTTCGTATGTCTCGATAGAAGTGAAAAAAAAAAACTGAAAATGAAAAGAAATGGAAAAGTTTTCGTATGTCTCGATAGAAGTTCCTTCTAAACTAACATGCCAGAAATTTGACTATTAAATAAGCAACGGAACAAAACTTACGAAGAGAAAACAATGCCGAAAATCTTTGAGCAGAAATAATGATTTCATAAAAAAATCTTTGCAGTTTTAAGTCCCACCTCAGACTAGAATAAACAACACTTGCACTTTCAACTATAAGGATGTGGAAACAAGAAAAGAAAATTCAAGAAAACAACATAAGAAAAATGAGTGATCTATCAACTAAGCCCACGATCTTAAAGCGGATACCTGTTGAGTCGAAAAAAAATGATTTCAAAAAAAAATTTAATAAGTTTCAAATCCACCTCCTCTCTGAACCTACAAAGAACAACACTTAAAAAAATCAACGCCCAAAAACCTATCAAAATTAGCTAGACGTAAGAAAAATATTTTTCTTTCATTAGCAAACGAAAACAGATAAGTTATTTCACTATTTTTTTTGTTGAAACTACCCGAAATTCGAGAAACTCAACTAACGCATAAGGAAACTTACCAGACAGCAACTCAACTTGATATAACAAAACGATAACTCGTCTAGCAATTTTGATTTAAATTATCAAAATTGTATGTTCTATAATTTCTGATTTGCTGGCTTGTTTAGTTCTCGTTTTTCAACTGAAATAGCTATTTTTCAAAACAATATGGACTAAAAAGCGATGAACACATATTTTCAATTGTTGTAGAAAAATAAACAAAAAAAACTGCGAAAGCTCATAAATTCAATTACTTACGCCAAAAAAAAATATGAAAAAAAAACAGCTGATTGAACAATTAAAAGCATTACAGGTTTCAACCAATTTCAAATTAAAACTAGCAATTAACGCACCTTCGGTGCTTGGAAATTTTTCTACAACTCATGAAAAAAACCGCATATATTGGAAACAACATCTGCAAACTTTTAGTGTACTCTGACTGCACCCAATTACAGGGTTGGTATTTTTTAAATTCCCATTTTAAAAGCCTCATCTCGAAAACTTAATGGGCCTCTGGAGAAATTTGGAAGCCAGATTTGCAACCACTGAGACTCCCTGAGAGCACCCTACTATAGGGTTAGGAATCCAAAATTTTGTGAATTTTTTAAACCTGAGATTCCCGAAAAAAAAATTGAAAAAAAAACGTCTTTTCTCGGAAACTAAAAGGGTTTGAGCATTCATATTAAGAGGCAAGATTTGAGACGCCTGGGTGTACGCTGACAATAAGGTTGTATCTTCATCAAGTTAGTAGTTTCAAAAATTTTTGAATTTCTTTGTAGATAAGTTCTGAGAAATTTTAAGAAAATCGAAAAACGTCACATCTCGGAAACTAAAAGCATTTTAGCAGTCGCGTTTAGCAGTCGCATGTGGCAAGATTTGCAACTCTTTAGAGTACCCTGACAACACCGAACTATAGAGTTGGGAATTTCAAATTTTGAAAAATAATTAATTTAAACTTTCTGAAAATTTTGAAAAAAATCACAAAAAACGGCACATCTCGAAAACTACAAAGAATTGAGCATAGATATTTGGAGGCAAGATTCGCAATCCTTGAGAGTACTTTGACAGGACCTAACTACAGGGCTGGGAATTTCAGATTTTTAAAGAATAGAAATAATTCAAGTTTTCTGAAAAACTTTGGAAAAATCGCAAAAAACGTCATATCTCGAAAACTACATAGAATTGAGCAGTCATACTTGGAGGCAAGGTTCGCAATCTTTGAGAGTACTCCGACAGGACCTAACTACAGGTTGGGAACTTCAGATTTTTAAAAACTGATAATAATTTAAGTTTTCTGAAAAAATTTGAAAAAATCACATAAAACGTCATATCTCGAAAACTACAAAGAATTGAGCAGTCATATTTGGAGGCAAGATTTGCAATCCTTGAGAGTACTCTGACAGGACCTAACTACAGGATTGGGAATTTCAGATTTTTAAATACTAATAATTTAAGTTTTCAGAAAAATTTTGAAAAAATCACAAAAAACGTCATATCTCGAAAACTACACTTGAGCAGTCATATTTGGAGGCAAGATTCGCAATCTTTGAGATAACTCTGACAGGACCCAACTACAGGGTTGGGACTTTCAGATTTTGCAAAAAAAATTAATATAAGTTTTCTGAAAATTTTTTGAAAAAATCACAAAAAACGTCATATCTCGAAAACTACAAGGATTTGAACAGTCATATTTGGAGGCAAGATTTGTAACTCCTTAGAGTACTCCGACAGCACCCAACTACAGGGTTGGGAACTTCAAGTTTTGTAAATTATTTTGATATTTGAAATTTCCGAAAATTTTTGAAAAAATCTCAAAACTCGTCTTATCTCGTTAACTAAAATGTTTCAGGCATTTAAAATTGGAGGCCAAAATCGCAACCCCTAATTCGATATTGGGCTGCTTAACTTAAACTCGGTAAAATAACCACTAAAATCAAATTGGAAAATCGAAAAAAAATTCTTAACCATTGCAATATACGATATAGCTTAAACATGCAAAAATAATACGTTGAAAAAGCTTAAACATGGCGAGATAGTGAAGCCCGCATTTAAATATATAATAGATTGAATCAAAGTTATTTCTGTGCACACTGAAAAAAAAACGAAAAATTAAAAAAATCCCTTTTATTAAAAAGGCACTGCGAAATAGATTTTGATTTTTCCAAAACTTATTGTACGACTTCAATCATTCTTACAAAATAAGAACAAATAATTGGAAAAAAATCATTCGGAACATAAGCCGACGGAATTAAAGCCGACACTCAAGCGCTGAAAAAAAATTCGGCACGAAAAAAACTATTAAAGGAACTCATAATAGGAATACAAGGCCCATGCTTAACATGCACCCACTACATTTACCTCTCCGGTAAAACACGTAAAACGTTTTCACGTGCGAAATCTGTCAGAGTTTATTTAGGGGAAAAAAAAGTCAAGTACCCGATTGCAAAACCCTTGCTTATCGCACGATTCAACACCAGTGGAAACTTAATACGAGACCATAGCTTAGCGTAAAGGCAGCCAGGTGACATCAAAGTAGATGTGCATACTAACAGTTGGATGGCTCTCTGCACATTTGGAGAGTGCAAATGATCAGCTCCGTCCTCGTTAATGTCTGCTCCACTGTCATCCACAGTAGAGGCTGCCTGGGTCTCCAAATATCTGGCATAGTTGTATTGTGTGGTGGTCAAATGAATCCTGTCATTACTCTCCGCCACTTGAAACACATACCGAAACTCTATGCTATTCAACACCATGCAAAACACAATTCCAGCAGAAATTGGGAAACTTAAACAAAATATCTTTACCGCCAAATTGATGTTAAACGATAAGCATCTGTAACTGCCGGGGTAAGCATAGGTCTTTTTGAGGCTAACCCTATTGCAATTACAATGAAATATCACTTAAAGAACAATTTGAAAATATTTTAAAGCGACGAATCGGTTTCTTTATCTTATCTTGATGATTCCGCTAAGTCATACAACAGGCTTCATTCAATATATTCGACAGATTGTTGAACTAATTCAACTGAAAATTAAATTGCCCCACAGTTTAAGAAATGGCATCCACGTCAATAACTAAACCTCACCCGTAACAAATTCGCTTCACTCAAATTAGATGCAGCTTTTAAATGTGACCGTTTTACCTGAGATGGCGCGTCCCCACTCGCACTGTGACTGGTGTATCTCGTTCAGGAGGTCATATCGGCCACACGACTTTAACAGTTTCTCCGCCTCGTCCTAAACAATACAACACCCTTCCATCCAGAACTCAAAAGGGTGTAAGCAATTAATGGGAGCTATTTCATTTAGTTATTTCGCTCAGGAATGAAACGGCTCCATAACATTATTTGTAGGAGCATTTTGAACACTTTAGTATCAATTTTTAGACTGCTACACTGTACTTGACAAAGGAAGTGTGAATTGCAGTACTGACCCGCATGCCTAGAGAGATTGCGAGCATGGCTGTCTGAGCAGGCACTTCCAGCTCCATCTGCTGTGCCTTGCGCAGTGCGTGGGTGGCCTTGAGGTTGCGCATGTTGCCCAGGCACATCTTGGCAACAGAGAGGTTCTGGTTCTTCACACACATGCGACACATGTTCTCCCACACAGACTCACTGCAACACAACACCACAGTGCAAATATACACACAAAGGCGAGCTGCGCTTCGCAAACACTTGCGAGAAGACGGTCAAAAAGCAGCTCTATCAAGTGACATAAGAAGTAGAAATACGCCTCGAATTTGCAAAAACTCGAGGCTTAGCAAAAACTCCAATAGTAAATACCTGCGATCTAGCGAATTTGAGTTTCACGCACTTACCATTCAGCCAGGGATGCTTAAAATCCCCAAAAACTAGCCACCAATAACGCAGCTACATATGCTAATAAATTGCCAATTCGATGCAGAAGTAGCACCAAATACAAAAAGATACAATTTTGCATGCAATAAATTGCGATCATAATGCCACATTATGCATTTCAAAAAAATTGCGAGATATATTGAGTTAGAAAGTTTCTCAAATCGAGAGAGTTTATTATTGTTACATTGTTTGAAACAAATAGCTTTCTTCGGTTCACTTGATGAATTAAAAATGTATCAACTGTGTAAACTTATAATTATTCGAATGTCAAAGCAGATGTTCTCAATAATCTGTAAAGGTGCGACGAATTGCCAATCATTTTGTATTGCCAAATCGATGCAGCAAATATTGTGGCTTTAAACGAAAGTCGCAATAAAAGTCCAGAGATACAACATTAGCCTTATGAGTCGTTATTCAAAAACAGATATGCACCCAACCGGACAGTACCGACCAATTTCAGATATTTCATGCTCCCTGAATAGCTGAATTGCAAATTTTCCATTTTTATAAGTTTTGCATTATATAATCGCTTAAAGAACTAAACCGCAACGGATCCCTAATTTGTTCACCACGCAAAATTGCAGTGCATAATAACAGTTTTTTATAATGGCAATGTCGCGACTAAATAAAAAGCTGCGACTTCTTAATTTGCGAAAAACAAAACCATGTTCACGGCGAAAATGCTACATCCTCAAAAAATAGCCATAATATGTCGTTTATGAATAAATCATACAATCTATTGACACTCTCATCATCTTTCGCAACTTACTTTTTGATGAGTTTGATGGCGCGGAATGCCTCGTCCATGTTGCCATATGCAATGTGGAAGCTGAAATCGACCATGGCCTTTTTGGTAGTGTTATCGCAGTCGCTGAATCCAGCAAAGTCACGCATTGGCACCCGCACCACGCTGCTTGTAGATCCAGAGCTCCGGCTACTGCTGCCAGTTCCCTTCTACGATCAGAGGAAATTGTTACTTGCTGTGAGTTATGTATTCATTTCTTCATGCTTGGAGAACTTCAAACTAGCACTTTCTGATTCCTTAATAATTTCTTTTTACGTACGCTTAACTGTATTGAGCGCTATTTAAATTTTCTAATAGGCGAGAAAAAACTTCTGTGTGCTTCAATTTCACTGACCTTGGCTAAACAGTAGTGAAATGGCACATCAAAGCCGATCAACTTGGAGCAGTTGGAGGGTAGGGGGAAGGAATCCTTGAGCATGAGGAGGGGGGCTGTGGGGATGTCTACGAAGAACATTGCAACCACCACAGGAGAAAAGGACGAAGTGTTGCTGTGGTTATTACTAGACTCCAAGTTGCTGGCTGTGCTGAGACCCAACTGCTCCTAGAACACACAAAAATGCTGGATACTTTGTCTTTTTAACATCAGTAAAATCGGAAGCGATGTGAAACATATTCGATGATCTTCGAGGCAATACTCTCTAAAAATCGGTAGTTTCAACATATAAACACTGAGGTAAAGCTGCGCTTCGCAAGAACTTGCGAGAACACGACCAAAAAGCAGTTCTATCAAGTGAAATGAGAAAAAGCAGAAAAAAGCCTCGAATTAGCAAAAACTCGGCTACATGTAGGATTCGAATCTGCGACCTACTGCAATCAATAGATTTTGAGTCTCATGCACTATCCACACAGCCAAGCAAGCGTAACAACCGACAGACACCAGTCAGCAATAAAGCAGCTACATATGCCAATGCGATTAAGCAAAAGTTTGCAAGCTCAATTTAGCATCTAATAATTTGGAATATATCAAACTGAAGGAGGGCATCAAAACTAACTTTGAATGAAACAAATCGCAAAGCATAAAGCCACATTATGAATAAATTTTGCATCTCGCGAAAATTTCTGAAATCGAGTTTTCATTGTTGTTATGTTGTTTGAAACAAATCACTTTTTTCGGTTCATTTGATGAATTTAAAATGCATCAACTGTGTTAACTTCTTACTATTCGAAGGACAAAGCACATGCTATCAGAAAGCTGTAAAGGTGCCCCATCAATATTTGCGACTTGAAAAAAATAAGGTTCGTACTAATACACTCGCTTTGCAAGAGTAAACATAGCCGACTGACAAATGGAAAGAGATGAACGCAAGGAAACTTAATAAAACTGACTTTTACATTGAAAAAAGTTGAATAAAAAAACTTCAAATCTCAAATTTTGAAAAACATGCCCTTAAAGCTGTTTGAGTTTCGCGAACAGTTTATGATTTATACTTTTTTGATAAAATTAGCCCAATTGAGAATAAGTAAAATTTTTATTTCGCTCGGAAATCTGATGGTTGAACTCGATTTTCGAAACTAGAAGTCGATAAAGTTTTTCGTGATCTTGACACTTGACTGTTCGATAGTCGAGCTTGCATTTTTACACAGGCGAAACTGAGCGGCGCAAACACTAGCGATATCACGACAAATAAGCAGCTTTATCAAGTTAAATAAGAAAAGATAAAAATAAGCCTTAAGTACGAACCTGCGACCTCGAGGATAAGACTCTCACGCCCTCACCTCTCGACCACGAACACTTAACAACAGGCAAACAAATAAAGCAGCTACATATGTCAACAAATTGCCACTCACATGCAGCAAAAATGGCACCATTACAAATTAACACAATTTTTCAAAAAATAATGTGGAATATAACAAAATGAAAGAGGCATCCACACTTATTTTGCATGAGCTACATTATGTATGAATTATGCATTTCAAAAAAAGCGAGATAATTAGTTGGAAAATTATTGAAAGGGAGTTTTTATGATTGTTGTTGTTTGAAACAAATAGCTTTTTTCGGTTCATTCCATGAATTTAAAATTTATCAACTGTGTTGTGTTAACTCATTACTATTCGAATGTCAAAGCACATGCTATCAAAGAGCCGTAAAGGTGCCCCGAAATTGGCGCCAATATTTGCGACTTAGGTTAAAAAATGAATAGTCGTAGAAAAACACTAACAATGAATAGTCGTAGAAAAACACTATTGTTCGCTAGTTTAAACAAAGGAAATCAAGTGAACTTAAAAAGAAACCAAACGTCAAACAGCGAGAAATCAAACTTGATCGAGAACAAGCCTTTCAAGACTTTTCGAAAAAAAACACTAAGACCTATATTATTTTTCATTACTCCTAAAAAATGAAATAAATTAAATCTCTATTTAAATCGAAACAGTTTCACCTTTCTTTCTGCAAAACTAGTGTAACTAGGTTGAACTAACCGAAGTGGACATTCCTTTGGGCTCCACTTTCATCGCCTCGCACGTCAGCAGCCTCGGGTCCTCTGAACTCCAGAAGTGGGAGACCGGTATTCGTCCTCCCAGGCCCTTAGAGGATGCACCAGAACCACTCAATTCTCGCTTGACGTCGTGATTGGACGAAAGGAGCGCATCATTTGAGTCTTGTGAAAGTATGTCATCATCATCTATTTGTTGGGCTGAAGAGGGCTCTAAGCCGAACGGCCTAGAAGCCGACGCCACTCGCTCGGTTGAGAAGTCGTGGAACACCACACTGTCACTTTCCGTGTCCCACAAGTACAAACGAGAGCTGGCCTCGCCCACATTTCCACCTTGAGTCAAATCCTGAAAATTTTGAACATTTAATTTGCCCCTCGGTTTGGAATAGAAATTTAGGTCTCAGAGACAAAAAAATAATCCTCATATATTATACAAATATAATCGTAAACAAATTCTTTGCTTTATAATGAAGTAGAAAAAAGCAATTACCAAGAGAAGATGGTAAATGAGTTGAGAAAAGATGCTTTGAAAAGCACACCATGAAAATCACACGGACGCCTCTTCTGTAGCAAGCTTGGCTTTCATTTATTCACAATTGGCTTCATTTAAAATGCAAGATTTGCAGTTGCAAAAAGTTGGATAGACAGATTATTTCGGAACATTTCAGCATAATTCAAGGTCACCTAAACCTACATTTGAACGCAACATTTCTCAAATTGGCAGGTTGCTCTTTTAAATGATTTTGTCTGTTCCAATATTTAACCTATGTTCAATTGATTTCTTTGCTCAAGAAAACGTTGCGGTTATGCTGTTGAACTATAATTAGTAGCAAAAAGTTCGGACAGACAGAATTAATTAAAATGAGCAATCAGTGCTTTTTCGACGCTTTTTTGCATGCAAAATCTGAAGCCGAACAACCTTGAACTTTTTTGTGAGACCAAAGACGAAATGCAAGATCGTCGCATATCAGATTATGCTAGCCTAATTTTTAAATACTGCAATGAACATCCAGATTGACTATAAAATAGTTAGCAAAATTATTTTAAAAATCGAAATCTAGAAATATTTTCAACAAAAAAAAAAACAGATTAGGCCGCCCCAAAAAAAAACGAAGTGGAGATGATCAAATCATTCAAAATTTGGAGACTAATCGCAGAAAAACATAAGCCACCCCTGGCAATAACTTCCTGTCTCAAGGTTTACTATTCGACGCTTCGGATGCAATTGCACGCCTATGTTATAGGTTTTGAGCAAAACTCTGCTTTATGAACTTTCGAAGTTATGTTTAATTCAGTTTTCATTTCCGTTGATGTCTAGACAGTTGTTCTTTTTAATTCATTCTGTCTGTCCGAACTTTTACAACTCTCTATATCTGGCGCTATTGAAAGAGAGATGCTATAATAAATTTAAATGAGAAACATCTCGAACAGACAGTTGAAAAAGAGTCCATGATCCCAAAACAATAGAAATATACTTGGACTTGTTTTAAGAAAGAACTAAATTCTAATTTCGAAAAAACATATATAAGACCTTAAAGCTCTGATTTTCAAGAACAATTTATGATTCGCACTTTTTTGATGAAGTTAACCAACGTTGAGAACTGGATCAAAAGTTTTTATTTCAATTAATTTCAACTTTCGATACCACTTCTAAATTAAAGTGGCACTTTCGAAACTAGAAGTCAATCACGTCAATCGTTACCTTTACACTTTTGCTGTTCGGTAAAGGAGTTTGCCTTTATTAAACAAAGGAAATGAAGTCAACTTGAAAAGAAATCAAAAGTAAAACCCTGAAAAATCAAGCTTGAGCTTGAAGAAATTTGAGCGTGACCAAATTTAATTTCTGTCCCGAAAAAAATTGAAATCCTCTCTCATTTAAAACAAGCCTCACTTGAGTATTGAGTGAATACCTCTTCAGTAAGGAGAGAGACGAGTTTTCCGTTTGAGTTAACTTTGCAGCTCTTGATCAAGGTGAGTTTGGGTATGAGCTGCTTCATGTTTTTCTGGGGTCTGTCCATCTTGGCCTCTCTCTTCGACAGGTTGAACAGGATCAGGGAGCAATGGAGAGTGGACAGTACAAGAGTGGTGCCGTTGATGTCCAAGCTAGTGACTACCACACTCTTCTCAGAGCCAGAACTGGTCGGCAGGGTCAGCAGTTGCTTCACTACTCCCTACAGCAAAATACAGTCGAACTTCCTTGTTGTGATGACAATACCTCCCAGGTATTCAATCGAGTTATTTATACTCATGTTATTAAGTCTTTTTGCGGAATGAAATACTTCTTTGCGGATTGAAGCGTGTAAACGAGCCGAAATCATTTTCTTTCTAAATTGCCTGACATAAATAACCATCAATTTAATAGTACAAGCAAGAAGGTTTTTTTTAGTGTTAAAGAAAGAAGTAAACGCATCAATTGTCGCATCAACTGTTGTCTCCTGTACTTGTGCTAACCTGTAGATTGCGCACTTGTAGCTTGGTGGGTTCCAGACTGAATATGGACTGTTCGTACACTGCCAGTTGTGAGGAGGTGCAGGGGAAGTGGTTGGTGGCCTCATCGTTAATCCCTGACTTCGAGTCCAGATTCAACTCGTACACGCTCGCTTGTTCCCCGTCCCACACCACAATTGCTTGCTAATCAACACACAGCAAAACATAATACAGTACGGTACGAGTCACAACTACGACAGTATCAAAGGACTGCCTCCCCGATCTTCCTAATTTGGATCTTCGAAATAAGCAAGCGAAAACGGATCCGAAAAAAAATTCACTTCAAACAATTCGATTAATTGTTAATGGATAAAAGCATCAGACGTTTTTTGCAAACGTTTTATGGGCTCTTTTCCAGTTCCCCCTTATTTTCAAATTCAATATTGAAAAGCTTATTTAAAGTTGTTATAATGCAATGAAATTTGACGTGGTGAACAAATCGACAACAGTGAACAGATTTGTTCTTCATACTTTACAGCGTAACATCACGCAATTAGCCGTAATAACACGTGAAACAAACATAAAACTCGGTTTGAAAGGTGGGGGGGGACTGGAAAAGAGCCATTTTATGATATTTAGTTCAATTGTGTTAGTTCAAATGAAATTGCTCCTTACAGAAAAATAATCGTCGTTCTCGCTGGGCTAAAATAATTTACTGAGCTAAAAATTAAAACAAAATAAAAATTTCGAAATAATCACAGCGGTATTTGTCTTGTTCCAATGTTAAAATCTCTGACGTCTCCGTCAAATGTCGAACTTAATTTGTAGCGTTCAAATCTTTCTTATCAAATCAGCTGATGAGGTAATTTTAACTTGTGCATTCGGACGAGCATTCGGAAAGTCTTTAAAGTTTAATACCTTTGAGACGGCGACTCCTCTGATCTGCTGCTGAGTCAAAACCCTCTGTTCTGCCATGTCCACTTTAAATGTCTTCACAGATAGCTCCTTAGCGCCAAGCTGCACACAGCTCAACTAGAAGCAAACAAGTTAAGCATGCTAGACGGAAAGTAAACAAAGTTTCGACGGTTGAATGTTCACTTAGTTAATCTACCAAATCATAAATTTTGTATCGATAAAAGTATTGCAATCAAAAGATGTTCAAAAAGCAAAATCAATACCTCGCTGTGGTACGCAGTGGCCGATTCGGCTTGTTCGTAAATCGTCACCCCCGAGGAAGCCTGCACTGCCAGATACGAATGCCCTTTACACAACTCTACACTCTTAACATTAGTAGCTCTCCCTGCATCCCCCTCCCCCATAGAAGAGGGGGAGGAGGAAGAAGAAGATTGTACTTGGACTGTCTTTTCCAACTTCCAGTCCAGTTGTAGGTCGTCGTTGTCTGTCCCGCTCGAGTGGACTGAGCTCGGTTGGTATCTCCAGAAGTACAGTTTGCCATTTTTGCTCCCTGCCACCAACAAATCTAAACCAATTCAAAATTAACCTCTCCATACAATAACGTTCTAAGTACAAAAATTCCATCACTACATGTTGCGTTTTGACTCAAACAGTGATGTTTTGTGATCTCAAGAATGTAAACACATTCAGGCCAACTAAGCTTAAGATTATTTCATAAATTTGACTAACTTGTGAAACTGGAATAGGACACAGACAACACTTCATCATTAAGACTTGCTTTTCCTCCAGCCGCAGTCCCCGCCGCAAACATGTCTCTCTCCGCCCTTCCGTCGCTGGTGGCATCAAAGATTGATCCCGTTGGGTTCCTGGTCTCTTCTGGCGTCTGCTGGGGCAGTTCCAGGGTGTAGTTGTCAAATGTGGAGGTGGAGAACATCCGGATCACATTCTGGCCAGTGGGGATGGCTACTGCCGAGTCTCCTGCCCAGATCACGTTGGCCTCGATCTTTATTCCTGGAAGACGCACCTAAAAGAATCACTCAAAGTAAAAGTAATTAACCAGTCCAAAAAATCATTGCGGCTTGAATTGCTCGCAAACTTGAAATAAGAAAAGGAAAATTGCAAAACAGAAAGGCCTTTTCTTCAAATCTCCAACGAATTGACCAAATTTGGCCATTTACAACTTTCGAGTCACCATTACTTATGTTGCGCGAGTGTCAAGCCTGCTTGCCAGTAAACAGTGCTGATTTAAATTACCCGAACAAAACAAACAAAAAAAGTTGAAACTTCAAACGTGTTTTTCTCAAATTGGATTAAGATTAGACAAAAAGTGAAATGAAAAGTTGCATAAAATTTCACCAGAATTAATATGATGCAATTTTTCGAACCTCGCAACCAAAAATTTGCCCCAAAAATGGGTCTTTGGCTTTTTTAGTTAATCAAGAAGCACGCTGAAATTACTGAGCTCATTAATGGGAAAGTTACCTCTTGCACAGTCCAACAAAGTTCTAGAAAGGTTAAATTTCCAACACTGTGTAAAAGAGAATTTTAAAGATTAATAGCCAAAAACAGTCATTTTTACTAAATAAAAACCAAACTCTTTGCTTAAAACAAATTTCAAACGTTTTACTGGAAATTTTACCTTTCAAGAACTTTGTTGGATTGTGTAAGACGATCCTTTAGATAAAACTTTCTCATCAATTAACTCGGTAGTTACAGCGTAGCTCTTTATGAACTAAAAAAAACCATAAATGACCCATTTTGGCTTTAAATTTTAGTAACGAATTTCGAGAAAAAAATGCACTAAATTCATGCTACAAAATTTTGCTCTCATTTTTTGTCAAATTTTAACCGAATACGAGAAAACCGCGTTTAAATTTTCTTGGTTGTCTCCGGTTAATCTAAATCAGCACTGTTTAACCTAATTTTGCAGCCTTACCGAACCAAGTTCTTTGAGTGAATTGTGACCCTCAATTCCGAATGCGTAGATGGTCATCGAAGACGTAACTGCGACAAGCACGTGATGGTTCGGACCAATGAGCAGACGTCTAACTGCTCCTGCACCGTAATGACTCGAATCGAACAAGACTACGTAGTTGCCTTTTTCGTCCACGTGAAATAGATGTCCATTTTCACTGCCCATGTAACAGCTGATAGCGTCTGCAGCGTTGCTTCCCTTTTGATTCTTGACTCGACCGGATACCAGCATTTCCAGTGCGCGCTCATCTCCCTCGGCTGCTGCTCGAGCCAGAGTTGCCATGTCGTTCCTGAACAAAAAAGTCCAATTTCAGTTAAACTCAGACACCATGAAATCATCAGCGTCGTCTTTACTCAAGCGCAACTAGCAGTACAAAAAATACATACCATTATTCAGGTGTAAAAAAAAATTGACGGAAAATCATTGCGACAAATTTCGTATTTTTAAGCTGCCCGATTCATCCAACCATAAGTTTTTCATGAGTAGGCGTGATCCATCCATTCTTTAACACACCTATGATTTATAAAAGATCATTAAACTTCAAACCAGGCGAAAAAAATCAAGTGTGAAAAAAAGACCATTTCAAGAAAAAAAGACTAAGCTCCATTAGAACTATTTTTGTGCACTGTTATAGTAATTTCTTTTAAAATGTTAAAACTACAGGGAAAACTGCCGAAATCACAAGAAGATTCAGTGATCTGGCAATTATGCCTAATAAAATGCAGACAAAGAGGATTTTCAAAGCAAAAATTTTCGGTAGGGAAAAAGAGGAGGTCCAAACCTACACATCTGTCATCCAAAGCATGCGCAATACTCCATCAATTTTGCATGATACGACGCTGAGTTTAATTTTATAATGAATCAATCAACTAAACGATTTAGTGATTCTGTTTGTTCCAATCTGATAACGCTCGCAAACCGCAAGCTTAAAAATAAGTTTGCAGTAATCACAGGTATTTAGAAAATTGAAAAAGGCCACCTAGTTGCTGTGCAAATACCGCAGAAAATCCCGATCATTATGATTAAAGTAAAGAAAATGAAAATTAAGGGAAATAAAAAATCGGAAACGAGAATACTTTTTGCTATTTTCAAGTTGTTTTTCATAGCAAACGACTACAAAATTGGGTCTGGAATTGTCAACAGACAGTAAGGGAAGTGGCAATGAAGTCAAGGAGGCGGAAGAAAATGATTTGGCGATTGAGTTTCAAAGAAAACAGTATATAACCTTATAGCTGTTCAATCTACGGAATCTCTCATCTTAGACATTTTATTTTTAAAAACTAGCCCATTTCAAGAAATGTGGATCAATAGATAGTTTTTTCCGCTAGGACCTCTAAGTTAAAGTCAATTTTAAAAACTAAAGTCAATCGCATTTTTTCGGGCCGTTTAGGAGTGAGAGAACGGTGTTTACCTTCTTTTCTGCAAATGAATTTGAATTGAACTTGAACCGCAACAAAAACAGGTTTGAAGGTGAGCAACTTTTCAAGACCTTTTCCCAAGAAAAAACATGGCCCAAAATAGTTGCCACTATGTTCACTTTCACTCTAAAGCTACAAATGGCGGTAATTATAGCAAAAACAAATTTTAAAATTGCAGTCTAATTAAATTGAGTGTCATCATAATTGAGGTGTCAGTGTTATCAAAATTCTTGAAATTTGGTCGGAAAAATGAAAACCTCAGACCAATTTTTCTCGACACTTAGACATCTTTTGAGATACTTTTACCACCGAAATCATGGCTGACGACATCTTTTGAGCAATTTTTACAACCCAAATCACGGCTGAAAGGTCTTTAATATGCTACCACAATCAACAACCCATGCGAGATTTCTTTCAGATAATCAAAGTCGGGGAAAATAACCCTATTTTCTTACCTTCACTTCGTGAATTCGTCGGAACAAAATGTAAAGAAAAAAAATAAATTACAAAAGAGGCCCTTCCGTTTAGTTAGGTAAGTGCACAAGCTGGATAGGGCCATACCAGCGTTATAAAAACGTTAAAAATGTAAAGAAATATGAATTATAAATCACACGACCTATGTTATATTACAAAACCACACCACTAAACTTGAGAGCAAGTGCGCCTCAAATTTAGGATTATCTCATAAGATAAACTAACATTGGCTGTTGTTGTTGAAGGGTTCTCAGAATACAACAGTTGATGGCTCCAAAATCTTTGACATTGCTATGACTCATTATTGTAGGTCCAGACCTCGACCGCAAGTCGTATTTCCATATCATCACCTGTCCATTCTATCAAAAATAACAGACCAAGTATACAATAAACTCACACTAGAGAATTTTCTTTAACAAAATGCGCCGCGTATTTTTTTACCTTGTCGCCTGTAATCAGTCTGCATATTGAAGCGCCTGGTGCGGTTTCCGCCCAAGCAATAGCTGTGATTGCAGTCAAGTGCTGTTTCTCAACAGTATGAGTCGCTGATGTCTGATCTTCACTTCGAACGGACAAATACCCATTTTGCCATCCAATTGCCAGAAAACGTTTACTGGGATGCCAGTCTAAAGTATTGCACGTTGTTTCACTGACCTTCACATCCGATCCCGGTAGAGGATATCCCTAAAATTGACTGTTGTTCAAAAATCAGCTACTTGCCACGAAGGAAACCTAGCCATCAGACAGTTGAAGAGCCAATGAACGAAAGGAACAAGAAACAAATCTGACTTGTTTTTTGAAAATTTCAAATTTACAATTTCAAGTAAACAAAAGTATGGCTTTACAGGTTTTATTTGACACTTTTGTAAAATCAACTCAACTTGAGAACACTGGATCAATAGGTAAAACTTTCATTTCGCTGGAAAATCTGAAAATTAAAATCCACTATTGAAACTAAAAACTGATTGCATTTTTTGCGTCAGTTCCTCTTACGTAATGCTGAGCCCAACAGACCCATTTTTTAGCAGATAAAACTGAATTGAACTCAAAAAAGTATATATACTTAAGGGCATTTACTTTCTGTAGTTATTAGAGCACTTCGAGACTTTGCATTAAAAAAAAAACGAAAAAAATCATCGCGACCAAAATAGGAGTCTGAACTACGTTCATCGACTCTTAAAAACTGTGTTTTGGACCATTTAGAATAAAAATAACTTAACTTAAAAATCGACTAACAACATCGATCGACGGGTAGCTCGGATCATTATCCGAGTTACCCTCTATAATGGTATTTTCAGTAAAAAAAATTTCGGTTCACAAAAAAGCAGCTCAAAATATTTCCTCGGCTTTCCGAAGCCATTGAAATAGACTAATAAAAATTTTGGCTCCTCATTACGTCATAGTAGTGTGGGTCTTTGCTAAATCAGACTTAAATCACTCAAACGATGTGACTTACACTTTGGTCATATATGGAAACGATTCCACAGGCATCGGCATCAGCCACAAGTGACACAGCGAGTAACGGAAATTGCGGATGCAAGCAAAAGCTTTCAACAGCTCCTCCATGCATAGATTTCACTGGAGAATCAAAAAATATGGAATTAATCGGCGCCATGCAATCTGAAACTGAAATCACTCAAAAACTGAAACAAAAAGAGTTTTTTTAGCGTCTGTTAGTGTAAGGAAACTTACCGGATGCCCGGTAAACTTACTCAAAACTTCCTTAATTAATTTCCATTTTTTAAAACAGAGGCGACCAAGCAAACAATGCGCAAAACAATTAAGTTGAAAAGAAATTGTTGAACGAAAATCAGAATTTATCATGGTAACCTAAGTTGCTTCACAAGCAATATCCTTCTCAGCAATCAGATTCTGGTAAACATCCAACCTTTCCTGCTCGGTGCAAATCTCATATCGCTGGAGAAAAAATATGGTGGCTTGAGGCCAATTGCCTTTGGTGAAACATTCAGACGACTTGTCGGCGGGTGCGCTACCAAGTCGACAAGTGTCATCACTAAAAAACTCACTAAAATCCTTGAATTAGGCTAACGTTGCGCCTCAAACGTCTGAACTATACAGCGGAAGACCTGAAATTACTTTATAATTCTTTGGTGATATCTCGACTATCTTACTGCGCGTCTGTTGGGGGTGGTACCTATTCATATTTACTAGATCAAATAGACCGAGTTCAGAACAAAGCACGATTTTTTGGTATTATTGACGAAATTGAACCTATTCGCGAAATTATCCGCAAATCTGACCAGGCCTTGCTACGCAAAATAACCGAGACCGGGTATCTCCATCAGCTACATCATCTCCTACCACGCAGAACGGATTATGCCGCGGATACGCTGCGACCCAGAAACGCTGGAGTTATGAAGACTAAATTGTCAAAACAACTCTGTATTTTCCCTTCGAGAGTTTTAAGAAGAGTGGTCACTTAAATTTATAAATATGTAGTGGATGTATTATCCGATATAAATCCAAGTTTTGTTGTTGTTGTAAAATCGAAGCGAACGTTTCCGCACATTTAAATCCGTGATAGATTTGGACGTTCCCAGATAGATTTCGCTCCCAATGGTTAAACGTCTTCCGTTGCAAAAATCTCAGGCTAAAACTATCGCCGAAACAATTAGGCAGCTCAATAAGATAAAATTCGCCGAAATCGCCAAAACTATTGCCGAAACGCGCTGTAAAACTATCGGACCAACAAGTCAGAATCGCGATAGGACTTAGCTTAGGCTCTAAAATTCACAAACGGCATAAATTCGTGTGCGAAAAGACGGTAGTGAAGATGGTTGGCATGGCTTTTCTTGCGCTCAAAAGTACAGGTAGATTCTCTATCCATTCAATTCTGAAAACACCTATGAAGCAAAGTTTATCTTCTACTCACATTCCTTCTGTTTTAGAGCCACACACTTCTGCAGGATCGATAAGAAGCGACCAGAAGGTTTGAAGCTCGTTCCATGGTCTGTTGGTAGGCAGCCCTTGTGGGATGTAACTGTAGTTGACTCCCTAGCCCCCAGTAGGATTAGTGCTGGGTCGGTTTGTAAATCTGGTACGGCTGCCGCTGAAGCGTAAGAGCTAAAAATGATAAGTACAAAAACTGTATGCCATTCGACCAGAATGATCCCGGAAATGCATGTTGCTAACGAATTTAATTTTATTGGAAGTTGACCGTATGATAGGCCGATTTTGGTGGGTAACGATCCTAATTGTAAAAAAACGAATTGGGAGGGGTAGTTTTCGATCGGAGTATTTAATCTTAAATTTTCGATACGATCCTGCACGACACGTAACAATTTTCTTTTTCGAAATAACTGAAAAAGCTCGAGAATCATAACAGTTTTTGTTAGACAGACCAGCAGATACTGTGTCAGCATAGAAGATGACAGAAAAACAATCGAAAACGAAATTATCGGAGCTCAAGAGGAAGACGCTGAGAGTTGCAACGGTTGTGCACCTACAGCCATAACAAAGCGAATCCCGTGAACCAGGAACGCTAACGGGAAAGCTTGGAACCCTTCCCAATCGTGAAGAAGACGCTTCTTCACGCGAATTGAAGAATCCGGAGGGTTTCTAGAGAAAAAATTTGAAAAATTGTTTTAGCAACTTTTAGCTTCCAGGAATAGCTCGAATTGAATTTAAAGTAACATTAAATTTTTTCAATTATTGAGAGAAAAACACCCAAATCGGAATTATCGGAGCTCAAGAAGGCGCTCCGAGTTGTAACGGTTGGGCACCAACAACCGTAACAGAGCGAATCCCGTGAACAAGGAACGCTAACGGGAAAGCTTGGCACCCTTCCCAATTGTGAAGAAGACGCTTCTTCACGCGGATTGAATAATCCGGAGGGGTACTGAGGAATAACTGTGAACATTGATTTTACCAAGTTTAAGCTTCCAGGAAGGGCTTGAATTGAATTTAATTTATCATCAGATTCCTTTTCAGTTAATGAGAAGCTATGAGTAGAGGTAAAGGGTCGATTCATCTCCGATGGATTTGATCTACTTTGGCATGTAACAAAGTTAATTTGAGCAGTTTCGCCGACAGCCTTTAAGTTGTAATGATTTTGTCGACCCGATTTGATAAGAACCACACATAGAGCGGGCTATGGTAGAGACAGTTAAAAGCATGTGAACCTTTGTTTCGGCGATAGCCAGTCGTTTTAGAACCTAGCTTTATTTTCCGTCGGTATACATTTTCAACCACTAGCTTGAGATTCAGGGCGCGGCAAGACCCCGCGCGAAAAATTGTGCTTGAAAAGCTTTGTAGGAACCTAAGCATTTTTACTGAGAAACTTGAGCCATTGTACGAAATTTCCACTCGTAATACAAGATCATTTTTGTATCAAGTCGAGTTACGTGTTTTTTATGAAGAAATGTAACCAGTATCTAGTTTAATTTTAATCAAATCAACTCACAACTCTAATCGCAATCTTTTTATTATTATCACTTTCATATCTAGTAAATTCTAGGTTTGTGACGGGACCTCGGTTACTATGATACTTTCGACCTATTAATTATTAGTATTTTTTAAATGCACCTTCAGGATGATCAAAAATCATAAAAACAACCAAACATTTTATCCATTAGAAACAATTTATTATTCAATCAATTTTAAATTCTCCCACCAAAAATTTTCTGAGAGTTTTGTTCTTTTTCCAAGTCTCTTAATTCTAAATTTTTGATTAGAACTCAAATGTTACGCCAACTTGTCATTTGGTTCATAGTTTTTGACAATTCAGTCAAAATGTTTCGGTTTTGAAACTATAGCTTCAGTGTCAGCTCCCCTCTTCGACAAAGACAAAGACAGCTCCCCTCTTCGCACAAAGACAATTTTTCCCAAAGAAAATGGAGCCAATCAATGGCTCACAAATAGAACGGCCTACCTCTCAGTGTATAAGCTTTCGAATTGCTATACGAATGAGATATGCTAATCGTATCGACAACCTTCCCACGAAATGCGTCTGCTCAGCTGATTTAACCTAGAGTCACGCATTTCAGTGTTCTACTGACGGCTTTGTCACTTACGTCATAATGAATTACGGGACAAAATATAAGGTTTGATCCGGCACTTGTGTGTTGATATGAACTCCGAGTCAGCGCTACCTCCGGTTCTCCTAGTTCAGTTCAGTTCATTCTGATCATATAGGCGATTTTTTTCGTCTCTTTCAATCAGCTCGCGCTGTATTCCTTTTCAATTCTTCGTTTCGAACTTATTGATTCCTAGGAGATGACATCAGAGGGAACACCAGCGATGGAACCGGTCTTAATGTTTCTGCTATGAGATTTTAAAGTTATGGTTAGAAGGCAGTTTTTGATTTAAGGGTCCTCACTTCACTCACTCTTTTCAACACTGCTGTGAATCCGGCGACCGTAAGCAAGAAAAGATCAGAATGTACACATCACGCTCGTTATCGACATAGAACAGGGTTCTTACACTCCTTAATTTGGTTGTCTTGGATATGCTTCCCCTCTAACGATTCTAAGGATAGCACATATGTCTCACCTCGACTCTTTGAATTGAAGCTGCAGTCAATCTGATGCTATTGATTGGTTGCGAAAATGACTATCATTTGCACTCGTGAGAACCTCGACTCTAAGCTACAGTGGAACGCGAAAGCCTAATGACATATCGACTACGGACCTCGACTTCATTTCTGAATTCTTCAATTAACAGCAAAACATTTTCAGAAAGCCCTTCGTGTCGAGGGTGTCATCTACCTCAAATACTTAATTCAAGGTACTGTTAGCTGCTATTCTTCCATTTTGAAACTGGTGCAGTATCTATGTTAGGTTCCTCTTGATACTCTATAATTTTTTTTTTGATGAGCATCATTCAAGTTTTTGCCTCTTTTTTAGCCAAGAAGAATTTAATGGACTTCAAAAATCAGCATTATACAAGATTTACTCCGATTTGTACGACCAAAAGGAAGATTATCGTAAAATAATGGAGTTTATTGAGAAAACATCGGAAGCAGACAAGGATGGCAAACTACAGTCAACATCGACGAAAGCAAAAGAAGTAACAAAAAAAAACTGTGAGAAACTTTTCGACTTTTCCTATACTTGTTGTGATAAACTTATTAAATAGTTTTATATACGATGGTTAGAAAAGCTAAGGAAGAAGAAGGAGCAACACACTGGTTAAATGTTCGATGGGCGACAACTGTGGTGCGTGGGTTGAGGTTTGGATACCGAAGGTAGTGCCAAAGGACTTCCTTAAACTACCACTGTACTTTTTTTTTTCTAAAAAGTAAATTTCACTAAGATGAAAGTAAGAACATTTAAAAAAAAACATGTACAATAAACAAATATTATACATTAATAAAATGAGCGCCGGGTGACAATTAAAAAAGAAAAACTACTAATATGTACAATATACAAGTATTATACATCAGCTTTGAAAAAATAGCACCAAATTACAGTTAAGAACAACAGTTCAGTGAAAAACAGCAACGGGGCGAAGAGAATAGAGGAAAGGTTAGTCGCGTCGTGATAGGGAATTATTGATGGAAATATCTTGGTTGTAGCAGGTCTGGCTTCTCATTTTGCGGGATCCTCTAATGCAAAGAAGGGCACCTCTCATAATGCAAAAGTTTACACGGGTTCGTAGCCACGAAATAGTTTCAAAATAGTGGGTTCCGCGCTTCTCAGAGGTCAGGAGAGCTAGCTGGGAAATAAATGTTGAAGTCAGGTTGCTGCAGTCACCACTGGTTGAATAGATAATGGGGGTGAAACTTGCGTGCTCCGAGTTCAAAATTCGTTCCTGGTAGTTTTTGATTTTCTCTTGTTCATGATGTTTGAAGGTTTCAGAAATTTTCCGGTTGATATTGGTGGTAGCTCCGGGATTGAAAATTCGGACGTCGAAAAGAGTGCGTTGACCGGTCCGCCAGAAACCCCTTGCTGCTATATCCAATCTTGCTCCATCTTTGGCACGGTTGGAGTTAGTTTGGACAACTGGTTGGAGACTCGGTTCAATGGAGACGTCAAAGCAAGTTTCGCGTATGATGTTCGCCAGCAGGTCACGAAACTCGTTGTGTCTTTTATGAATAAAACCACCAGTGGTGCAATTAAGGGCGTGGGTGATGTCGTAAGGTTTCCCACAGACGCAGGCAACGGGAAGGTTATCAAGACTGATACCGTATCGGAGGCGGAGGAGGTCTTGAAATTCCATTTTGTTGAGAGCATACCCTAACTCTTTGATAGGGAGGGTAGTTAACCACGCTGAGGTGCCTTTCCGTCTCGTATGTTCTAGAAGTCTGTCTTGGCGCTCAGATAGCTTCGGCCGGATAGTTTGCAGGAGTTCTGTTTGCGTCTCGGTGTTTTGTTTCCGAATATAAGCCCTTCTAGATTTCTGATCGGATTCAAAACCAGAGGGAAGATTTTCAGATTGCGTACATATTAAGTCCACGTGTGGTTCGCAAATGTATTCTGAAGCCCGGTTCATTAGAGCACTCTGTCTAATTGGGTCGCGAATGCTCAGGCCGCCCAACCTGGCTGGTAACTGCGCAAGTTCGAGCGACGTGGGATCCAGTTTGCAACCAAATATGGTTTCGAGCAAGTTGTTGATAGAGCTTGAGAGGTTATGCCATGCTTCCGCGGGAGTTTCCATGATGCGCTGAAGGTACGACCATTTGCTTTGCAGGCTGAAAACAAGGCCAGCGTATGCGGCTTGTGGTTCTTGCTCTGCTATTTCAGTCAGCTTTTCCACCATGCTTGTGAACTTCTCTGTTTTTTGTAAGATGAAGTCAGAGCAGAAAGCTGTTGAGCCGATAACACCACCTAAGTACTTCTTTCCCGAAGTGCGAATAATCAACCCGTCACTTTTGAACAGTGCTTCTGCTTCATCGAGGTGTTGTGGTTTGACAACGAGTACTGTTTTGGAGGGCTCCGGGAAGTAACCGTAATTCGGGCCTCGAACTTTCATGAGTTCCCACCATTCTTTGACACGGATAAGTTTCCCTGCACCAGCTCCGTCATCGGCGTAAAAGTTCTTGTGAATGTCGGTGACGTTTTTATCATAGACAAGGGGGATCATGCTGATGGCGTACATGATCATTGCTGCCACGTCTCCTTGAGTGGTGCCTTCGGATGACAGGATGGACTTCCCTCCTACGAACAAGATAGCTGGCTGTTTGTAGAAGTTATTGAGGAAGGGGTGGAGCTGGGGGCATAGAATTTCAATGTTATGGAGAGCCGTACCGCGGTTCAGTCTATTGAACGCGTTTTCTGGGTCAATGAACAGGGCTGCTTGGCACTCGTCGGCGTTGAAGGTCTTCTGCATGGATCGGAAAGCAGATTCAATCCCGGCGCTAATACCAGCGCAGGTTTGGAGGGGGCCAACAATCTCCCTAACTTCGTCTTGAAAGCACTGGATAAGGGCGGACGTGATTATTCTTCTAAAAATTTCTCCGATTCCAATAGGGCGGACGCAAGGTGATTTGTCCAGGCCAACCATGCGGCAGTTTGCTATGGGCTGCATCACTGAAGCGGGTAGTTGCTCTGTGGCAAGAATTCTGGTAAGATCAGCGAGAGCGTGGCAGACGTCGTCGGTTAATTTACCAAAACTATCGGAGCAAAGAATACGTTTGGCGCCTGTTGAACTTAGGCCGCTTGGTCCCGCGCCTCCAGTGCTGTTGAGTGCGCATTTGCGGATAAGCGCGCCTGTAATGTTGTAATATATCGATGCAGGAGTAGGTTTAACGGGTCCCTTGAGCAAGGCGTCAGCATGCGAAGGCTCGGCGACCGGGTGTTGCTTTTGTGCCGCCGAAAAACTAGACAGTCAGAAAGCAATCGAACAGTTACAGAACCATTTCCAAGCGTCTACCACCACTGTCGAAGCGCCTAAAAGCAACGCACCTTCATACAGCACAATATTACAAGGGGTTCGTAAGGAAGAGGCGGAGTCGAAACGGAAAGCGAAAAACGTCAATGTCTGGGGAGTCAAAAAGGCTGACGAACCGAAGGACAAAGAATTCATGCTGCAGCTGAGTGCAGACTTAGGAACAGATATTGACGTTACTAGTACAAAATGAATTGGTAAAGAGAACGAAAATGGAGAACAGTTGATACTTGTCTCTTTGACATCAGAGCTGCAAGCTCATAACATACTGAAACTGGCAAAAAAACTCAAGGAGTTCGAACATTACACAAATATTTACATTAATAAAGACTTAACAAAAAGCCAACAGCTTGAAAACAAAAAAACTCAGAGAAGAATTGAAAGCTGTGCGACTGGAAGATCCCGATGGGGTTTATTTTATCAAGCACAACCGAGTTACAAAGAAAAATTGACTATCGGCACTGCTTTGGAACGTGGAGGGGCTGAAAACTTCACTTGAATTACAAACGAATGATTTTGTCACATCCCACGACTTTTTCTGTTAACAGAGACTATGGATGTGAAGGACACAGAAATAACTGGTTTTACCTGTTATTCTTCGCCAGCAGTTAGTCTTGATGTGGGAAGACCGCCAGGCGGTATCGCTATTGCGATCAGTAAAAACATTCAATCAAATAGCTGCATCATTTTTAGATCCCAACACGTTCTTATTGTGAAAGTCAAAAACTGCAAAATGAACTTTTTGGTATCGTATTTTCAACCTTGTACAAAAAAACTAGAGGATATCATTTTTGACATATCCGAAGGACTATCCAGAATCGACAAGGAAGAGCTTACGATCATTGCAGGACATTTTAACTGTCGCCTGGATCGGTTCGAAAGAGGCACTGACTCATTGGATATCTGATGGGAATTAGGGTTTTCTTGTCTCAATAGCTCCCAGGCACCAACATACTACTGCCATAATGGCCGCAGTGCCATTGATTTAGTGTTTACAAACAACCTACAACTAACTTCAGACAATGTGACTATCACAGAAAATTCTGCTACAAAGCACTGCACCGTTGGATTCAAAGTTCACACCGACGTTGAAAGAGCTGACAGTAAGACTGCTCATATCAGAAAAATCGATCTGGAAAAGCTAGAGTACAAACTTAAAATCCTCAGCACGCCGTGTGTCGAGCCGTTGGATCGATGGTACGGAAACTTCATCTCGCCATTTAGAGAGTCAGTTCCAGCTGCCAAAAAACGGATCTCGAAGGTCTGGTTCGACAGAAGCTGTTATTTGCTCCACGCAAAATTGAAAAAACAATGGGATCTCTGCAGAAGACAAGAAAATACAGAAAATCTTCGTGTGTTTGCATGTTACAAAAAAGAATTCAAAAAATTATGCCAATCTAAGAAACAGTCTCATGAGAAAACGAAAGAGGAACTTACCCTCAGCGTAGCAGAGTCTGACAAATCTCAGTTTTGGACCATACTTAAGACCAGAAAACCACCGATCGCGCATTGCGCTGTCAGTTCTGACACCTGGTTTGATCACTTTGATAAACTTCTGAATGTTCCGTTATCGTACAACTTTTAACCTGAGAATGCTGAAATTACTGGTTTTCATGATTATCAAACTTCATTGAGCGAGCGAATACCCGAAATGAGCAGTGAAATAAAACTAGCAGAAATAACACGTGTAGCAGCCAACTCACCCAATAAAAAAGCTGCTGGTCTCGACGGTATCACTAACGAAGTCTTGAAATCTTCTTTTGGGTTAGTATTTTCATTCCTTGTTACATTATTCAATATTTGTTTTACTAATGCTACATGTCCTGTTGTATGGCGAGATGCTTACTTAAAACCACTCTACAATGGAAAAGGCGAAAAAACGGATCAAAATTCATATAGAGGTATATCTTTGCTTTCTTGTGTTTACAAATGATATTCTGCTATTCTATACAATCGGTTAAGTAGCTGGGTTGAACTTCAAAAGTTACTTCCTGATACGCAGTATGGGTTTCGAAAGGGTAGGAGCACCATACTTGCCGCGAAAAAGCTAATTGAGTCAATTAGAACAGGAGTCCGTTCTAAGAAAAGGTATTACGTCTGCTATGTTGACTTCGAGAAGGCTTTTGACAAGCTTGACAGACAACTTCCATTCACCAAGCTTCAGAGAAATGGCCTCCCTGTACACTTCACTAAAGTTCTGTACAATCTTTATGTTCAAAATAATATCCAAGTATGCTCGAATGGGTATT